CTTAACTACCCTGCTAGGTCACAGTCTTCTTAACTACCCTGCTAGGTCACAGTCTTCTCCTGCTAAACGACTAAAGTGCTTTAGTCATTTAATGCTGTTTACACAGAGATATCTGGATCTAGTCTTGAAGCCTGAGAAGTTCAGCTCGATTCTGCTCAGCTCTACTCTGAACTGAACTGGAAAATGTCATTCTGCAGAGATGTTCAGACCTGCCACATTCTGTCCTTTCCATTGCAGCACTGGATCACGGGATAATCCAGGTTGGAAGGCACCTCAGGAGACTTAATCCAATTTATGCTCAAAGCAGGGACAGACATGACAGCAGATGAGGTTCCCCAGGACTTTATTCAGCTAGATTTAGAAAGCCTCCAGTGTCAGACAATTGCATGACTTCACCAAGCAACCGTTCCAATGCCTGACTGTCCTCTCGGAAAAAGAGTTTTTCCTTATACCCAGTCTGAACTAGTTTTATTTTGATTTATAGCCACTGTCTCTTGTCCTTCTGCCTCTATGCAGAGCTCAGCTTCATCTTCTTCATGATCTTCTTGTAGGTACTAGCAAGGTGATGTTTGGTCTCCCCTCTGGCTGAACATTCCCCATTCCCTTAGTCTGTCTTCACAGGGCATGAGCTCCAGTTCCCCCACCACCCTGGAGGTCCATCCAGCTCACTCCAGGTCATTTCCTGCATCGGGAGTTCAACACTCCACAAATGTGGTCCAATGACTGCTGCAGAAAAGGAGATAATCACTTCCCTTGATCTCCCAGCCATGCCTTTGTTATAACATCCCAGGATACTGTTGGCTGCCTCTGCTGCCAGGACACGCTGCTGCTTCACGTTCAGTTGCTGCCCAGCAAAACCCAACCAGTGGGGCTGCTCCCCAGCCAGTCCCTGCCCAGCCTGGGGTGTTGCTATTTTTCTTTCCAGGTACACGACCTGGCATTTGGCTCTGAATTTCAGTGAATTTGAATGGTACCAGTTTCCCACTGTCTCCTTCCTCCAGCCTATTTAGGTGCCTCTGCATGACAGTCCTGACATGTTGAGAAGCTCCCTGGATGTGTATTCACAGTGCATGAGCTACCTGACAGTACCTGTCCTCGTGCCCACTTTTCCATGGTGACAATAACCATGGAGTGACACATATGGCATGTTCACAGGAAGCCTGGGCTCACAGTCCATTTTCCATGGAGTCAAAGCAATTTGGATAAGCTGGCAACAGGCTTGTAAGTTCTTTAGTGAAGTTTCAATGAGTCATGCAAAGCCGGGTAGAGGGGATCTCTAGTCTAATAGGAACATTTTACACAGCTTCTTGGCTGGGAATGGAAATTCAAATAAAATTCAGACAAGAAATAAAATATAGTTTTACAAGAGTGAAGCAATTAGGTCTGGAAACAGCTTAATGGTGACTGATGGATTCTCAGCTATTTGAAGTCCTTAAACCAAGATATTTTTGTTTTCATAAATACATACTGTGAGACCCAGACATAAGTTACAAGCTTTTACATTTTACATGAAATACTAAGCTAGATGGTCATAATGGTATTTTCTAACTTTAAAATGATCCATTGGAACTTACACTAACAGTTAACAATGTAGAAAATCCTGCTCAGTTTCTAATATGTTGTGTTTATTTTCAAAACAATGAAACAATAACATTTTCATAGACTTCATGAGACTTCATGGACCTGTAATTGACTTCCCCTCCTTTACATCTTTCCTTCCTGTCCATCACTCACAGCTACCTACCACTAAGTATAGAACTAATTATCTTCCACACTTCATTTCAAATAGCTGCAGATATTGCTGCATTAAAAAAGCCCCATCAAAATACTAAGATAACAAACACAAATGCTTTTTCTCTTTACAGGACTCATGAGTTCTACCCTCCTGAGCAGAGTTCTCACTGGGATCTGTATGGTTCACACACCCAGGTAAGATAATCCTCTCACCTAAATGGATCAGTCAGTTAGGAAGGAGCTCTCAAGAGTTCACTGTGAAGAGCAGTTTAACAGATTGCAGACACTCATCCTTTCCATCTTTAAATTCTCACAGTTCTGACATTGAGTGTAGGCTGAATAATTCTGCTTAAAACATGACTTGCTAATGTAATACAGACTCAAGTCAAATCTACTTTTTAGCTATATTATCCTATGGAAATTTTCTTTCTTGTTCAGGGTCAAATTTTCATAAAAAGTGAACATTCATTTTCTGCATCTAAAAAAAAAAAAGAGATGCCTTGGTATTCTGTACCAGAGGCTGTTACTGGAATTTGTCTATAAACAAATGTTTTAGAAGCATTTTCCTCTCAGAGAACAAACTGTAGGCTAGACAGCCTGCTGCAGAGATCAGGGTAAAGAAGACTCTTGAAAAAAAATTTAAATCATTACCTTCCAAGCACTTGTCCAAAACAATACAAACAACAGGGCTAAGGACACCCAGAATGACAATAAAACAAGTCTCCAGCAAAAGAAAGTAAGGCCTGTCACCTCTGCTAGTTTTGCATTTGTCCTTCCAAGTTCCAAACAGGTCAAAGCGTGTTTTACTCCAATGGTGACAAAAAAAGGAACTGTCTGAGAGAAAGCAAACCTTTCTTTCACTCTGGTCTTTCCCTTGCCCTCTTCTAACAATTCCTGGAGTACTTAGGTAAAACAACAGGGTACTAAATCAGAGGGACCTGAGAGAGAGAGAGAGTGCCAAACGATTCTGGCTTCTCTAAACTACTACACTTACTGCCACTAATGTGTCTGCCCTCTACCATAAAACATGATACACCTTCCCAGAGCATTGTCACACACACACAGACACTCCTGCCCACTGGCTACTCACCCAGGGGAAGCTTCTCCAGCAGATAAAGGTAACACTTAAAGAAGTCATTTTGGATTGCCTTATGCAAGACAAAGGACATACTGTGGCGACAGAGTTCTTCGTCGGTCTTGTGCCAGCGCGACTTGAAGGCCAAATGTGCTGCTTTGTACGCCATGATGAAGATGTTTTGTGAGGGTGGACAGCTGCTGTGGCTGGTGCTCTCTGCAGGACCTGTCCTGCTGAAGAGGCAGAGGCAGTGTCATTTAAATTGTGGCAATGTGCTGTCATTCTATATCGGGGTGTGTGCCGAGAGAGCGGCGCAGGGGGCGGAGGCGGGCGAGGGGAGTGAGAAATGCTGGCTCTTGGCACTGGCTCACAGCAAGCTCTGGAGTGTCGCCCTCTGAGACAAGCAGGTGCTGGAAAGTGGAAAAAAAAAATCACCCAGGAAATTGCTTAGCCAGGGTAAAAGTATATCTACTCCAAGAAAGAGTAGCTTTAATTCAATTACACTTCTCCTAATCTATTCATCCTTCACTTCAAAGGAACTCAGATATTATCCAGGATCTCCCTCTTTTATATCTCACAGGGTGGTTTTGTTTCTGTGTGTCTCCCTCACTATTAGTTCTTCAGTCAACAGGAAGGCCAGAAGACAGAACACGGACGTGCCTCTACACAAACTGTGTCCTAATAAACTGTGATTATAGCAAGCAAAGAGAAAGCAACAGATTCAGCTTCAGGCTTTGTCACTCTGTGTGACAGGGCAAGCTACTTTCTACAATTTGCCTGGGCTCATTTAATCTGGTTAAATCATACAGACTACCTCATCAGCAGGGACTAGCTGGAAGGAATTGCTTTCTGGCAACACAGGAAGGGTAAAGTCAGGGGAGGATAAGAGCTTTTTGCTTTAGTTAACAAAATACACAGAAGAACAAAAGGATATAAACTTCCTGTTAACAAATGTGGACAAATTTCTTGTCTGGGAAAGAGCAGGTTCAGGCCACTACATAAAGGGGGCTGTATACCACAAGTATGTCCCATCCTCGAGGAGGCTCAGGCCCTCAAGGGACAAGGAGAGACAAGCACTGCTTCAAAACCTTGTTTGTCCCTTGGCAGTTCAGGCTCTTGGTGTGGTACAGCCTCAAGACTCTCGAGTTGCAAAGGTACCTGGCAAGGGGATAGGGACTTTGTACTGACTGCACTGACCTCCACACAGTGTGCCCAGGAGTGCTTCTTTTTTTCAAGCTGTTTATTCCAGCTGTCTGCAGTGTAAGCAAACTATGATGCAGCAACACAGAGTCAGGAAGTTGGATGTTTCCAACACAAAAGCCATATGTCCTGAGCAGTACTGCAACCTCCTGACAAATATACCTGATCAAGCTTCTAAGAGCAGCACAAGGATGACCCAGCCTTTACCAAGGAAAATCACTAGCAATTTGGCTACAGGTGGTGCTTTCTAAATGCATCAATTAAAGCCTATTTTTCAACATAATTTTCCTCTTGGAGCAATCAATCTCTGTTTCTCTGCTTTGATATTACTTATTCAAAGTATTTAGGGGCAAAACCATCCCTGGCCTTTTTTGTTTCCTTAAACTACCATCCTGTACTACTCATTCTCACCTAACAGCACTGGCACATGCTCCCCCAGCTGCTCCAGTCTACGTGATTGTGCAAACGTGTTGGTGAACAGACCAATGAATAAATCTTTTTCAGAAAAATATACTTATTTTTCTTTCAAGTGCGATCAGCTCCCCAATCCAGCCCACAGCTGACACAAGGGAATTTGTCATGTGCTGCACTACGGGGGCTGGAGCAGCCACCTGGGATGGCAATGTGGAGGAGAGAGCCGTCCAACAACAATACACAGTGGCCTTATCAATAATGCAGCTCTCCCTGCTTCATCCTGTCAGAGAGGTGTGCCCAAGGGGGTTCCACAACAGCCAAAGGTGATTTAAGTAATGGAAGATATGTTTCTATCTTTCCACTCCTTCCTGCTTGCATATTCCCTTGTCTGCTGAGACATTTCAGGCTTTTTTTTTCTGGTTAGCACTATGAACAAGCTCAGTGCAGAGTTTACAACTGCCAGGGAAATGCAAAAGGAAGGCAGAAATGTACAGCTGAGGATGGGATGGAGAGAGTGGGATCATGGGGGTGGTTACATCAGCTCTAGTGCCACTGCACCGGAGTCTGAGCCCTTCCTTGAACTGAGGGTGATGTTCACGCAGCCTTAGAAATTCCCTTGAAATAACTCAGTCTCAAAATTCCTCCCAGTTATGTATCTATCAGAGAAACCAGGCTCTCTCCAACTAATTCTGAAGTATCTGGGCTCAAACATAATCCTGGTGCATGTCTTAGTTTTCTCACAGATCTGACCCTTATCTATTTTCAGCCACTTGCCAGTCAGAGTGCCAGGAACGGATGTGTCAAGACAGCACGTTAATGCTTTGGAAAGCAAGCTTACAAAAGACACCCCTAGAAGTGTCAGGACCCACCTGTTCAGCATCTGACACCGTGTTTCACATCTGTCATGGCTGCAGTTTTGGCAATGCCCATTGTGTAGCAAAAGTGACTCCTCTACTTAGAGACAGCAGTGACTCCAAGCATGAAGCCTAAGCCCTGACGTGTCCTAGTGGAGTCAAACGGTGGGATAGGACTATGGAGGGTTCTGGGACCACAGCCCCAGGAATCCCCATACCTCTGACAGTCAGGAAGTCCACATGGGCCTCGGCTTTTAGGTGTGCCAGGAGCATGTAAAGCATGAAGGCAAAAAAGTGCATTCTCTATCATTTTAATGCCCTGCTAGTGATCTTCTCATAACATCCTCTTCCTAGTCCACTTTCCTTAAGAAAACAGCATAACAATCATGTTCTGTGTGTCTCTGTCGCTGACTTTTACTACCCCACCACCAATCAACATTTAAACCTCTCTATCTCAAACAGATCCCAGAACTATTTCAAAGATTGCATCAAAACTGTAGATGAGGTAGAGAGACAGGTCTCATCCCAGTGTCACTCAGCAAGGTGAGCCTTGTTCTTATGAGACACTATAAAACCCATAAGGATGGTTGGGCACATCCACACTTGTCTTTCCATGGTACCATTCTCAACCACCCAACACAAATGTGTCAAAAAAAACAGTTCTGAAAAAAATAGGATTAGTTCACAGAAACTGTGAACAATGCCAGCACTACAACATGCCCCACACTGACATTAATGAGAACTGTGGGGCTTGAGTATGGGCATGATGGCACCCATGCTACTTGTAGGATCACTACTGAAAAGTTTAGTTACCTTTCTAAAACAGCTATTTAGCTTTTCCTGAAGTTGAAGCCAGCTAGCCAGCCTTCCTCTTGGTAGGAGGGACAGTGGAGAATCTGGACCTCTGGACAAACTGAAGCCCTACACTAAAATAACAGTCTACACATCCATAATGCATGACAGTCCTTGGCTTCAACAGCTTTTAGTCTAAAAGAAGAACGTGCTTGTATTTATGTGGGTAATAAAACAGTTCCTCTGTGTGTCTTCCTCTTCCTCCCCGTGAGATCAGGCAGTTCTAGGGAGGGTTTAGCATGGATTAAAATGAAGGATCAGCTAGAGCAGCTTCTTTTTAAAAGACCTTTAGCTGATCCCTGCCTGAGAGCAGCAGGTTTAAAATAAGGCATCAGATGGCTTATGATGAGTTGTGCAAGATCCAAGGTGGATCTGGTTGTTGGAGCATCAGGGTATTTGAAGAGAAGTTGTACTGGCCTTTGCATTAGTAGGTAACCACCTGTCTGTGCAGATCTGAGCTGTACACACTACTTCTGAAACACATCAGCTGCACAGCAATGAAAAACAAAACCATGTGCACAAGCTCAACATATCACACAGATCACAAAGGGTCAATTTTGCCTTTAAATTACTGTGTTCTGCTTACAAAACACCTGGTATGCAATCCAATTTCCACATGGACAAACCATCAGAATTGCTGTAAGATGTCTCCTTACCTTAAAAAGGCCTCTATTAATTCTTCTCCCTCACACTCATGCCTGGCATATGCTGTCAGGAATAGATGTGGTTAAAGCAAGTAATTTTTGTTTTATCTTTGACAACAAGATTTTAGAAGTTCCTGAGAACCACAGGATGATGTTGACAAGAAGAGGCACAGGCAGAGAGCACACGTGCAGTTGTGAGGGCAGAGAAGAACAGCTGCAGGTTGGGTTGCAGGTGGGAACCTTTACAACTGACTGCTGCTGCCTGGATTGTTCTGCTGCAGCTTCGGGGGCTTATTCAGAGCAACAGTGAACGCCCATGTCTGGGTGTCAGGCTGGAAAATACTAATATGACAATGGATGCATTAATTGTCTGACTTTCTTAGTCACAATCCTCACCCACCTAAACTCCACTCATGGGTTCAATTAGACTTAGCAGTTTTCAAAAGTATTACTGTGAAAGTAATTTGGTTTTGAGTTGACTGTAGAATTGAGAAAAAACAGTGGTTTGGGTTGATGAGAAACTGAAATATTTCCCTTTTCTCACTTGGAAAAAAAAATTCTGTTTCAGGCCAAACAAAATGTTTTGTTTGTTTGCAGGGCTATTTCCCTTCTTCAAATTTTTATTTGTTTGTTTGTAATCAAATTTAGGTAAATTTAGTTTCCGCCTTTCATTTACAAGGGCAAACTAGAACAATGTTGTTGTCACCAGCAGACTGATCAGTCTTGCAAAATCACTCTGTGAAAAATGACCCAAGGAAATGCAGAGCAAAACAGGTCCTTAGGCAAAGACCCAACCTTGGGACAGACTGCTGATGTTTCAGGAGAAACCCTGTCTTTGAACCACATTTCCAAAGCAGAGTTCACTGCCTGTAGGTCAGGATGACTCACACCCTTCAGGGCATATCCTGCACAATTCCCAAGCGCTTTCATGGGTGCAGTCACAGCAGCAATCTGTTATCATTTACACAATTGGAATTTAGCAATCTGGAATTCCATCTAAAGCAACTAAAGACAGTATGTGAGCCCTATGGGTAAATACATTATAATTCATGTAAATGAAACTGGCCAGAGCTCTGTCCCTATGGAGGGAATACACACTTCTTTTCCTCCAATCCTTCTAGCTCTGGTGCCAACACTAAATTACTTTTTAAAGGGAGTGAGAGAAGCCCCCCTTAGGTAGGAGAGGGAGCCTGTCTCCTCATGTCCCAAGCACAGTGACAGTCACAGCAGGACCCTGATCTGGAGATCCACAAACAGTATGCCAAGGTA